CGCTTTCTAACCAACAGCATCCCATTGGGCGCTCGGGTTCTGGTGATGAACCACTATACCCTCCAGATCTTTCAAGCCACCACTTCCCAGGCTGGAGGCCGTAGCAAGGGCATCGTTTGTTCCTAGATGAACAAGTTCACACTGAGCCATTTCAAATCACATAGTGCTCGCTTGTGCCCGATTTACCAAGCGATCCAAATCAGTCTGTAGCCCACCCTGTCCTCTGGACTAGCGTGTGCTAGTGTAGATCTTGTGTCGCTGAAAGCACTTTTCTTGATTCACAAGCAGAAATAATATCAACTAGGTTTGTTGTGACAGCCATGTTTTCTCCAGTCGCATGGCTCTTGATCCAAGCCCCTCATGTCTACAACACGAGCTCATGTACCTGTATATGTGCTAGATCTTCATCTATCAGCCACAGGGAATACTACCCCATCGGAAACTGAGTCCGTGGATATGGATGTGAGCAGGGGACTCTCAGCCCGAGCTTGAGGTGTAGAGGTAGCCTCCTTCGTGACAAGGAGGGATGGACTAAAGTAGCCTCCCTTTGCCTTATTAAAATTTGATTTAAAACAAGGGAATTGTCGGGGAGGAAAACGCCCAGGTTGCTGGCTGCAGTATGGCTGTTATCTTGTGTTCAGGCACTGACTAGCTTAAAAGAGGGTTGCTGTAAGAAAGAGGAAAAGAGAGTAAGTCGCAGACCATTATCCAGCCCGGGCTGGGCTGCCTCGGGGAAAAACAACCCCCCACCCATCCATAAGCTCAGCACGTGTCACTGGGCCAACGTTTTTTAAAAATCCAAAGCAGACAAGCGCCGCTGCCACGTGGGAGGGAAACGTGCACCGGGACGGCGGAGCATCCATGCTAGGGCTACAGGAGGAGGCTTCTGAGGCTGAGGGGGGAACCCACCAGCCACAACTGTGCAGGGAGCCTCGTGGGGAAAGGAGCCTAGTAGCTCCGGGAGGGCGGTTCTCATCTCTGCTGGTGCGGCGAGTGTCTGTGCCTGCACGAGGGAAACCAGGGACTCGGGGGGTGAAATCTTGCCCCGAATGCAGGGCAGAGGCAACAGTGGGGACAGAGCTTAGAGGGGAGGGGAATGGTATGGTGGGGGCAGCCTTGGCTCCATGCTATGACCCCTAATTGTGTCCTTGAGCCCTTGAGTAGTCACCCCACCCCTTCGCATGGTCTCTGTGGGTTCATGTTCCTGTAGCGGCCATTGGTCCCTAGGCTGTCCAGTCTCAGGAGCTCACCACACAGTGGAACAAAGTTCTCCAGTTAGCCCAACTGCCCAGTAGCGAGCAGGCTCCTCCAGCGCAGTCACTAATGTGGGAACTGTCCCAGCCCTTGCAGACACGAGACCATCCCTCAGCGATGTGTTAGGAGGCCTCACCCATGAATCCCTCTGTCCAAGGCAGTAGCAGGTAAGCGCCTGTGTTGCGGTGAGTCCTACGGCACATTAGTCAACTTTCTTTTCCAGTCTAAAAACACCAGAGGAGCCCTGCGGTATTACCTAGCCACAGGGTGTCCGACGGACTTGCAGGGTCTGTGGTAAGGTGGGGGGGACTGGCTACCTACATGGGGACACCTAATGGTAAGCACAAGAGTGGAGACAAGGGAAAAGACTAAGGGTAACCACTGTGGGTGCATCTTGACTGGCAAGATTTTGTGCAAAAGCAGCTGCGTTTGCTCAAAATCTTGTTGCCTGCCTACACTGGCCGTGACTTTGTACTGTACAAAATCAGTGGTTCTTGCGCAAATACTCCGACGCTCCCACTCAGGGATAAGTCCTCTTGCGCGAGAGGGCCAGTGTAGACAGGCAACGTTAATTTCTTGCTCAAGAAAGCCTGATGGCTAAAATGGCCATCGGAGCTTTCTTGCGCAAGAGAGCGTCTACACTGGCACAGATGCTTTTGCGCAAAGGCTCATGCCCATATAGACGCTCTCTTGCGCAAATACTTTTAACGGAAAAACTTTTCCGTTAAAAGTATTTGCGCAAAATCATGCCAGCCTAGATGCAGCCTGCGTGTGACTCAGCCGTAGCTCACAGGCAGAGCAGTTACTACTCAAACAGAACCAGGGTTTGTAAAATGTGGGTTTCAAAAACCGAGGGTGCGCAAATTGCCTCTTGACTTACCAGTCCAGCCAACCCCTGCTCCATGGGGCTGAGACATGCAGTGAGAAGAGGATCCGGGCATTTGATCACTGGAGCACAACGAGTACTTTACGCTTAGGTGAGCTGACATCAGCTGGGGGCTAGAGTGGAAGCAAGGCAAAGCCCCTAGCTGGGAGCTCAGCTCCCACCAATAAGCCAGGGCATTGACACTAACACTGTGTCTGCCTGTTAACACGTCTCAGGGGGAGGCCAGCCTCAGTTATAACAAAGGGTCAGAACTGCGCTAGCCTGGCTTCCACGTGGCCAGTTACTTGCATCTACTGCACTGCACGTTCCAATGGGTCTTGTGTGGGAGAGTCTCTCTCTCTCTCTCGCTGCTTTGGGTAGTTCCCGTTCAGCCAAAGCCGTCCGCAGTTCAGGGCCTTGTCTCTTGGTGCCTCTACTCGACAGCATCTGCCAGGCTTTCTTCTCCCAGGGCGCTGTTAGCGCCAGCTTGACCTGAGAGCTCTAGCTATGCGGCCTTCACCCTGGGGGGTGAGCACGCGAGGGCAGGGGAAGGATTCGTGTGTCAGCCCCCCTCCCCACTTCCCTGCCCTCCCACCACCAGAGAGGTGGATTCTCTATGCCATGGGGCTGTAGCAGTCTCAGTGGAGGCATTTGCTGACAGACGAGAGCCAAACTGGAATTGCATGACATGAAAAGGCCCTTGGTAGATGAATGAGCATCAGAGCAGCTTCATGCACCGAGTCGTTCAGGATTTTCTCTTTATGCCAGGGCCCATGAAGTTAATCAGGAGTGCTGTCCCGCACCTGGTACCTAAGGGGTCAACTCCGGTACCGAGCAAAGGTGTCAGCTAGGTCAGTGAATGGGTGTGTGCTCTGGCAATCAGCTAATAACAATGCAGGTAGGACTTTCAAACTGGAAAAGGGTTTTTTCCCCTCTCTCTCTCTCTCTTCTTTTAGTGCAGAGCAATTTCTCCCAGGTATTGAGGGAGATGGGAGACACACTTCTCTCTCCAAGGACGGACTTTTTGAAATGTCTGAGTTGGGAAAAGTTCAATAAACCCGACGGACTAGCTCTTTTCCTTGTTTGGGGGGTTTGGAAATCCTGTCTGAGCTGGCTAAATGTTTTTCTCTTTTGTAACTAAGGGTTACAGCCCAGGGCCGTTCCCCAAGTCTATCAAATGGTGGTTCTCTTTCCATCTAGCCAATTTATGCTTGTAACTGTAGTTTTGTTTTATTCTAATGAACCAGTCTTGGTTAATTCCTGCATCTGGGAAAGTGTCTGTGTGGATCTGCCTGAGGCATCAGCTACCAGAGACTGCAGCTTGTTCTGCTCTTTTCCTTTTCAAGCTCTTTTGGGGGAAAAGAGCTTGGGGTACCTCAGTGGTTGTGTCAAGTGTCCACCGCTGTTTATTGTAGGGATCAAAGCACTTGAGGGTGGCAGCAAGTCCCCCAGGATAGGAGGGGAGTTTTTGTACCAGGGCCTGTAGAGGCAAGGTTTTGGAGTGCTCTGGTGGGCCTCCAACTTCTGCATTCGTCGTGCCAGAGAGGGGAACAGCCTTGACAAACCCTGTTTCTATATAATATTAACAGCACAAGCACCCCCCACCTCTTACTGAATGTGGGGCTGCTTCTTTGCTCACCTTTTGGGAAATGAGATGTAGGTGGGAGGGGGGTGGGAAGAGCATAAAAGTGTTTCTGCTTCCAGGAGCAGAATAATCTTTTGGGGGAAAAGAGCTTGGGGTACCTCAGTGGTTGTGTCAAGTGTCCACCGCTGTTTATTGTAGGGATCAAAGCACTTGAGGGTGGCAGCAAGTCCCCCAGGATAGGAGGGGAGTTTTTGTACCAGGGCCTGTAGAGGCAAGGTTTTGGAGTGCTCTGGTGGGCCTCCAACTTCTGCATTCATCGTGCCAGAGAGGGGAACAGCCTTGACAAACCCTGTTTCTATATAATATTAACAGCACAAGCACCCCCCACCTCTTACTGAATGTGGGGCTGCTTCTTTGCTCACCTTTCGGGAAATGAGATGTAGGTGTTTTCCGCAAAAATGGCGATCGGGGCTTTTTTGTGGAAAAGCGGGTCTAGATTGGCCACGGACACTTTTCCGCAAAAAGTGCTTTTGCGGTAGAGCGTCCGTGCCAATCTAGATGCTCTTTTCCAAAAATGCTTTTAACGGAAAAGTTTTCCGTTAAAAGCATTTCCGGAAAATCATGCCAGTCTAGATGTAGCCTGAGGCAATTGCTTTTGCGCAAAATCTTGCCGCCTATCTACACTGGCCGCGAGTATTTGCGCAAGAACACTGCCGTTGTAATGTACGAAATCAGTGCTTCTTGCGCAAATACTGACAGTCCCGCTCAGGGATAAGACCTCTTGCGCAAGTGACCAGTGTAGATAGGCAACGTTAATTTATTGCGCAAGAGAGCATCCTTCTACACTGGCCCGGATGCTTTTGCACAAAAGCACGCCAGTGTAGTGCTCTCCTGCGCAAATACTTTTAATGGAAAAACTTTTCCGTTAAAAGTATTTGCGCAAAATCATGCCAGTGTAGACGCAGCCTGAGGGTGGCACAATATTATTACAAACCAACCCCTTAAGTTTTTTTTAAATCCCAAACTGTGGCTCCATCTTTCTCTGAACAGCTGCATTCTTGGCTCTCTGGTGTCCGATTGTGGTAAGGAGCACTCTGTAGCCCTGGAAGGGTGGCCGAAGAAGCAGGTGGCCAAAGCTGGCTTTAAGAATGTTGGGAAGGGATCAGTGAGGTAGCAACTTGTGTTGGAAAGACACTAGGTAATTTTACTGGCTAGTAAAAGCCCCGAAGAGCAACTAATCAGAATCAGGTAGCTGTGCAGGGGCGCAAAAGGTAGAAGTGTTACAGGCACACGCAGTATGGATGAAACCACAAACATTTATTTTGCTGCTTCATCTATTTGTAAACCTGGAATTGAACCCATTTCCACTCAACGATCCCACCCTACAAAGCATGCCACTGTCTACGGCTCTGGCCATTCGTATATCCCTGGGCCAAACAGCCCCGGAGCATCGCTCTGATCGGCAGAGGTGAGTAATAAGGGAGCACTAGCAGACAATACACAACACTTTTCACAGCCCTCATTCCAAATGCTTCATCCCCTTAGTTTTGAGCAGATGCTCTGCAGGAGGCTCTCTGCTTTCACATGTCCTCACTCTTCTTTGATACACAGTTACTTATTAGAAGGGTGGCTGTAGCATAACCCTCCCACCCCCAACTTAAAAATAAATAAAACCTAGGCTCATACGCAGAACAGACCAGTGGTGCAGTGTGTATTAGCTGTTATACGCACTATTGTATCAGTATGTGGCTGTCAAAGGACAGAAGGTTACAAGACACAGCTGGGTCATTCCCCAGAAAATTAATCCAAACTCCATTGTCACCAATTTAACTTAAGTTTTCAAAATTTCCTCTCCACATCTGACTCTGAAAGGCCTGTTTTCAAAAGTCAGCCTTTCAGTGCATTTGCTCAGAATATATAATTTTTTTTTCTAATACTATACATTTAGACTTTTTGCTTAGGGATTAGCCTATGTTTCTCAACCACTGTGCATAAAAAATAGAAACTAAAAGTAGCAATGTACAAGTCACATATTTGTTCCAAAATGTACTTAAATAGATCATTAGAATTTCAGCATTAGATAGAGCTGATTTTATGAATTCTGACAAGCTCTAATATTCCAGGGGGAAGGGGATATTATTTCTCTCCATCAAAGGCAATAGTACTGTGATTTGGTTCAGAGGGGGACTACTTTATTGCTAACATGTGTTTCTGGAACACAACTATTTTTACTAAGCAGGAAGAAAAGTGTCGTACAACTTCCATAGTGATTTCTTGTAACTCTCAAGCATATTTCATCAACAAGATATACAGTACAGTTTCAGAAGAGCAAACATTTGAAAGGTAAGCAAACAACTTTTTTTAACCAACAGAGAATTTCTTGCTGTATTTATGTTGAACTGTCCACTTATCGTGGACAATTATATAGTTAGTTTTCTTCTTCAGTACAACATGGACACAGGACTAGTACAATCTGGGGTTTTGCTGTTGTTTTATAAATTATAAAGACAACTCTATAGTATGAAATCCATGGTCCTGCCATCAGTTTCCTTTCATCATCTTGCATACCGCTTAATGTAATCTTCAACTTTATTCCGAAAGTCATCCTGAAGAGAAAGAAAGAACAAGAATGACACCACGTACATTTCAGCAAGACGGTACGAGATCTGGAGGGGTGAAGTTTCCATGGTAAGTACGCAGTGGAGTTGGTTTGCAGGTCTCTCTTTGCTCTGCCTTGAAAATTGTCTGACTCTCTACATTTTTCACAGTGTAGCAAAAGTGAAGGGGGGAGGGGGGAAACGGTGCAATACCATACTTAGAATCCTCTAAGTAACACTGTACTATGGACGCTTGTCAAGAACGGTACAGTTCAAACAGCTCTCAGACCATCAGCTGGGTTCAAACTGTGAATGCCTCATCATATACAATGTAGCCAAGGTCATAGAATTTTAGAGGGAAAAAGTTCTTAAGTGGGGAATATGAAAGGTATTATTAGAAGATGCATGACACTAACTCTCCCCCTTGCCCCCCCAATACAATTGCATAATATCACAACTATCATATAAATAAGCTATTTTTTAACTGTCTAGACAAATGCAATAACTCTGAACAAGTTAGCAGCTTGCTATAGTAACTTTAATTACAGAAAGATTAATCCACCTCCCTTAAGGACAAAATGGAGACCGATAGCCCCGAAAGGTAAGACTATGGTGACACAGTATTTCTTGGCCTGCATGAAGCATAAAAATATCACTTGCAAGGCCTAAAAAGAATGTGAAGAACAGCTAGCCAAAAGATGCAAAAATATTTGTAAGTACATCAGAAGCAGGAAGCCTGTTAAACAACCAATAGGGCCGCTGGGACGTTTGAGATGCTAAAGGAGCACTCAAAATCAATGAGGAGAAACTAAATGAATTCTTTGCATCAGTCTTCATGGCAGAGGACAGGAAGGAAATCTGAGGAACCGTCCCAGATTGAGGTGTTAGAAGTGGTTTTGGAACCAATTGGTAAACTAGACAGTAACAAGGCCTGAAGAACTCAAACATGAAACTACAGAAGTGCAGTCTGTAACGTGCCATTTAAAATCAGCGTCTGGACCAAATGACTGCAGTGTAGTTAATGTGACATTTCTAAAAAGGGCTCCAGAGGCAAGCCCTGCAATTACAGGCCAGTAAAGCCTGACTTCAGCACTGGGTAAACTGCTTGAAACTATAGTAAACAGAATTGTCTGAGAGAGCTGAACGTGGCTTTTGTGAAGGGGAATCAGGATTTACTAGTCGACTAGCATTCTTTGAGGGGTTCAACAAACATGTGGTCAAGTGAGATCTAAGTAGAGCAAATTAGGTAGTCAGTGGATAAAAGGAAAAAGGCCTTTCATGGACTGGAAAATGGTTAAAAGATAGAAAGAAATGGTCAGGTTTCAGAATGGAGACAGATAAATCGTGGTGTCCCCCAATGGTCTGTACTGGGACCGTTGAAATTCAATTTATTCAGAAATGATCAGGAAAAAGGGGTAAATTGTGAGTAGCAAAATTGGCAACTGCTATAAAAGGTAGTTAAGTCCCACACACACTGTGAAGAGATACAACAAATTTCAAAACTGGGTGACAAGTGAAATTTTAGTGTGGAAAAATGCTAAGTAAGATGCATTGGAAAACATCATCCCACCTATACATTTCAAATGATAGGGCCTGATTTAGCTGTTATCACTCAAAAGGGAGATCTTGGAGTCCTGGGGGTAGTCCTCTGAAACCATCCACTCAGGGTACGTCTAAACTACATGGCTCCGTCGACGGAGCCATGTAGATTTGTTGTTTTGGCAAAGTCAAATGAAGCCAAGTAAGATGCATTGGAAAACATCATCCCACCTATACATTTCAAATGATAGGGCCTGATTTAGCTGTTATCACTCAAAAGGGAGATCTTGGAGTCCTGGGGGTAGTCCTCTGAAACCATCCACTCAGGGTACGTCTAAACTACATGGCTCCGTCGACGGAGCCATGTAGATTTGTTGTTTTGGCAAAGTCAAATGAAGCCGCGACTTAAATGATCGCGGCTTCATTTAAATTTACAGGGCTGCTGCGCTGAGCCGACAAACAGCTGATCAGCTGTTTGTCCGCTCAGCGCGCTAGTCTGGACGCTCCCCTGCCGACATCAAAGCCCTTTGTCGGCAACCCTGGTAAACCTCATCCCACGAGGAATAACGGGGCTGCAGACAAAGGGCTTTGATGTCAGCAGGGGAGCGTCCAGACTAGCGCGATGAGCGGACAAACAGCTGATTAGCTGTTTGTCGGCTCAGCACGGCAGCTATGTAAATTTAAATAAAGCTGCTATCATTTAAATCGTGGCTTCATTTGATTTTGCCTATGTGTCTAATCTATATGCCTCTGACAACAGAGGCATGTAGTCTAGACACAGCCTCAATGTGCAGCAGCAGTCAAAAAGAAGCCCAGAGACTGCTGTGAATCATTAAGACATGGATAGATAAAACAGAAAATAGCATATTCCCTCTATATAAATCCCTGATACACCCACGTCTTAGGGTGACCACATCTGTGGGCAGTATTTATCTCCAAAAAGGTGTATTGGAATTGGCAAAGGATGAGAAAAGGGCAATAAAAAGGACTAGGAGTATAGAACAGCTGCCATATAAGAAGAAATTAATAAAACTGGGACTTTTTAGCTTGGAAGAGAGACTGGGGACAGGAAGGGTGGAGAATATGACTGAGGCCTATAAAATCATGACTGGTGTGAAGGAAGTAGATAAGACTGAGGCCTATAAAATCATGACTGGTGTAAAGGAAGTAGATAAGGCAGTGCTTATTTATTTACTCCTCGCATGAAGTTAATAGGTGGCAGATTTAAACAATGTGCAGTCAGCCTGGGGGACTCCTTGCCAGAGGGTCAAGACTAGGACAGAGCTGGGCTTGAGGACTGGCCTGCAATAAAGATGAGCTCTTTAGGGCAAGGACCTGTGGGTGCTAGTGAATTAGAACGAGCTAGATGTTTTCTTTAAATGTCAATTTTGTAAGTGTCTTTGATCCATCAGTTTTCACTTGCAACTACTTAAACTCTCCGGAGAGCTATTCCCCTGGGTCCAGAGCATACAGGACTCTCCACAGCAGGGAGTCTTGGGAGACACTGAAAGTGCTCCCGCAGCGAAGGGCCTGGAACAGCCTGATCTCATTGAGGGGCAGGGACTGTAAATGTCACCACTTCACCTTAGGATGATGATGATGGAAGCACTAGAGCCCCAGTACAACGGTCCTCATCCTCTCCTTGGTGACTTGGATTGACTCGGCAGGGAGGTACTGATCCCCCACCATGGCCGCTAGGCGAGGCCAAGAGCAGGTCACAGGGAACCCTATGGCATGGGGTACCAGTGGTTCTGAGTTAGATGAGGCAGAGAAGGGTCCCAAACCAGCGTGGATCTTTCGGGTGCTGGAGGATAAGTAGGAAGCAGCTGGCTCACTCTCCCAGCGAGGATACAGATTCCTGCTCAGACTGATGTACAGAAGGGGTCTCGGTCTGGGGCCTCTTGGCCTTCTCCATAAGGTTTGTGCAGAGATGAAGGTCCCCCCCCCTTCTTGGGTACAGCTGGGGAACAGTCAGCAGATACTGCCCCTTGCTGGGATGCGCTGGCCCAAGGCCGTACAGGCAGCACTGGTGGCAGTCATGGAGCAAGAAGGATTGTAAGCAGGAAGCACAGAGTTTGAAGCCCAGAATCCTGGGCACAGTCCGGTACCCGAATGGACCAGTGGGGGCAAGATGGGCAGAGCTCCCCACGGGACACTAATCAAATGCTAATGTGTAAAAACAATTACAACCATTCACCTATTTGCAAGCTAGATGATGATTCTTTCATAGAACGAAGCTGAAGCTGCGGACACTGAAGGGTCTGACCGGCCCGTGAGGGGCTGAGAAGGAACTGGAGAGGCAACAGATTCACCTCACCCTTTATCCCTTCAGTGGGAGGCATAGAGGGAGTCCAGGCACATGAAAGATGAATGGGCCCCACTTTCAAAGTCTCCGGCTCTGGGTGCATGGGCACCATCAGTGGAATGCAAATGGGACCTATGGTTCCAGTAAGATCCAACGAGAGAACACAGATTTCAAGCACCCATTATGCTCATTGCACAGAGGGACTGCAAGTCTCAGAGTCAACACTTCTGCATTATGCAGTGGTCGTCTCGCTCGCAGCAAAGAACTGAGGAGTTCAACAGAAAACTGCATTCCACTCCAATTCCTTCTACAGCTCCTACCCCTTGTAAAGCTAGAGCTGGCTGAAACCTGGCATTTCCCTGCAGGAGAAATTACAGCATTTCAAAATGTGATTTTGTTCCAACCTGGAATGAAACCAAAACTGTGTAAATGTCTTGCAAAGTAGAAAGCTTTAAAAAAAATGTATTTTAGAAACTGACATAAGGAGTCTCCCAAGAGTGGCAGGTGCTGACTCAAATAGACATTCTTGTCAGTTTCACAGCTGCCAGTGATTCTGTGGAAGTCTGCCAAACACCACGCATTTTCCAACAAAATTGTTTAATTGGAAAATTTATGATTGGCTCTAATTTTGAAAATGAGAGAAAGAGACTGGAAAATTTATGATTGGCTCTAATTTTCAAAATTAGAGAAAGAGACAAAGAAAGAGAAAGCTAAAGAGAGAGGGAGAGAAAGCGAAAGAAAGGAAAGATAAAAGCGAGAAAAAGAGAAAGTAAGACAAAAGTGAGAGAAAGAAAGGAAAGAGACAAAGTGAGAGACGAGAAAGAAAGGGAGAAAGAGAAATCAAAGGAGAGAGAGACGCAAAAAAGAAAGAGGGGAAAAGAGTGAAAGAGAAAGAGGAAGGAAGGAAAGAAAAGGAAGCTCTGCAATTGGAAGACTATCCCTTTATTCATCTATAACCCAATGACAGCCCAGAGAGCAGCAGTGGACTGCCAGCGGGCCTCAACTCTGTCGTGGAAGGCAGCCTCGCTTCCATGCCAGTGCAGACTAAACATGGCAGCACAGTCCCAATCAATGCTAACTGGCTCACTTTTCATTTCAAAACACGAAACTTTGTCAGGCAGCCTGTCCAGCCCCTGCGCTCACAGACCCAGCACTTCCACACGGA